GACAGCAGTGGCTTCTTATAGTCTGAGAAAAAGGAGGTGACATGTAAGACACCACAAGGAATTTTCATGCTGAGTTATACCTGGAGTAGTAGAGAGGGCTGTCTGGGGATATTCATTCCATATCTAAAATGGAAAACGAGTTTTTGTTCTTTCTTTGCCCTTCTTTACCTTCCAAGTTCCAACTGAAATGTGCCCAAATAATTGAAGTTTATTGTCCCTCTTGGGGACAAACCATTCCCAAAGCAACATGCTATACAGCAGCCATACCATCATCACAGATGACCTCTGGGCATCAAAGAGGGCAGATACAGTTCAAAGAACAAAGGAGGGGACTCAGAGGCCCCTCGGGTCTGATCTCAGACTCCAACAACACAGGATAAGCCAGGAGCAAATCAGCCTATGTCCACTGCTGCAACAGCCAGAACCAGAGGGATGGACCAAGGGGAACTGACCCCAGGCCCATGAGAGGAGCTTGAGACTATCTAATCAAGATTGAAAAGACCTCAGAGGCCCCAGTAAGGGCAGGTAGGGAGCTGGTGTTCATCAACTGGCAAAGGAGCAAAGAAAGAACACCCAAAGGAGACCTCTCTGGACACAAGAGGCTCTAAGGTGGGAGGCTAGGGTACTATATAGGTTTTCGGGCTGGGGGTTGAGAACAAAGGAATTAAACTCTATTGGTTGAGAAGCAAGGAGTGTGGACTTGTCACAGGTCATATGTTTGTCTTCATGTGATGCATTAATGTTGCTAATTGTGGGCACCGATCATTGGCCAGTTGGTCACGTGGGCTCCTGGACACCCTGAGGGTTTGCACATGCATATGCCCGCATTTCCAGTTTGAACCAGTCTGATCTCATGGTCTGTAACTCCCTGTTTCTGCAGCAGCCAAGCTCCAGGATGTACAGGCTGGGGGGAGTGGGAATTAAGAATAAAAACAATGGGTCAAGAAAATTGATGGGAGCAGGCCTGAAGACATCAGATTTGTTTGACTTCTTGTTTAACCGAGTTAGTCCATGAGAACAGAAAGTTCTGTCTCTGTCCTGGGACTTTTCCCACCACCCAGGGTAGATAGTGTCCCAGACCATGTCTTCCAGGTGTCTTGGCCTGGCAAAATATGAACTAGAGGTTACATCATCCTCTAAGGTGTAACTAGAGGTTACATCATCATCAAAGAAGGCACTTATGGGTCTGTTCCCATAGGTCTACTCAGGAGAAGCAAACACACAAAAAAAAGAAAAGATCATAAAAAAGGGAAGAATGTTTTGGTTCTCCTTGAATTCTCTTGTTCCTCATCCCCTGAGTTCTGGGCACCTTGGACCTTGTCAACAACAGAGCAGTATAGATAGGTGCGAAGGTAAGTAAATGCAGATGGTCAGCAGAACTGACTCCATGGAGGCCATCTCAAGGGATCACATCAACTCCCATGTGTATCAGAAGAAGTGTTCGGTGCTGTCATTAACAGATTTATTTTGTTTTTTTTTTTTATGCATATAAGAACTGGGGTGTAGGCCAAAGGTGAGGAGGTGAGAGGATTTACCAGAGAGAGTAGGGATCAGAACAGGTGGATCCATTGAGATCCACTGCTGAGGGGAGCAGTGGATGAGACAGAAAAGGTCTGCTGCGCCATGTGAGTCAGCTCCTGGTGTGGGGACTGAACTTGTGCCACAATGGCTGGCAGTTGCTTGATAGTGCTGAGACATTAACCCCTGCGCAAACAGAGAGGCCCCTAACAGAGATGTTGGTTATACACATGCTGTTAGCTCTGTGAGTCCAGGTTCCTCTCTTCAGATGGAGTGGCTTTGTACCTAGGTCCACGGCCCTCTGCACATGGAATATAAATGCTGAGTAACCGAGAAGCTGTTTGTTTCCACAGAAAGGCCTTGAGCTACCCAGCCCTGGGTTACAGTTGTCATTAGTGTTGGTCCACTGGTCTGTGCAAAGGTATTCTAGCCTGTCTGGAAATGTGCTCTACAGACCAGAACACCGTTTCAAGTTCAGCGTCCTGTAAAAGCATTTAATGCTATGGACCATTGGCAGGTCAGAAAATGTCTGCAGCCTTTGGGCATTCTCACTTTGGGGCAAGCTGTTTCACCTGGGAGCCAGCAATTTACTCCTGTACTCAGCCCAATATTTAGGCACAAGTATTGTAAATGAAACAGTACTCCTCTCTGGGGCCACATTTTGCTCCTACTAGAAGGTATCGTTTTTCTATGACATTGGAGATTTTTGGAGTTTTTCCCACCATATGGAAATCTAGTTCCTAGAGTCTCCAAGACAAGAAGTCATGACTTTTGGAAGTCCTCCTTAGTGGTGCAGGGGTTAAAATCTCAGCACTATCAAGCTATTGCCAGCCACTACAGCTTAAGTTCGATCCCCAGCCAGGGAGCTGATCCACATGGCACAGCAGCCCTTTCCTGTCTCATCCATTGCACCCCTCAGCAGTGCATTTCAGTCTATCTACCTGTTCTGCTCCCCACTCTGTCTCTGGTGAATCATCTCACACCCTAGGCCACTGGTCTACACCCCAGTTCTTGTATGCATAAAATTAAATCTTTTAAAAAAACAAGAAGTCATGACTCTTCTCTCTGAGAGGCCACCTGTCTTCTGTAGCACTTACTGAAATATCTGGCAATAATGCCAAATACTTGTACAAAGCTCATTAATGCCAGATTACTTTATAACTGCAACACACATTAATATAATTGGTTCTCATAATGAACCTGTTGCTCATGTGCTAATTACTAATAAAACTCAGATGGCTACTATCTTTGAGGGGGGCTATGAAACAAAGGTGGGCACCTGGCAACTCTACAGTTATCATCTGAAAAGCAGCCTTTGCCTCAGTAACAACTTGGGACATCAAGCCATGCCTCCATGCCTCCATTAACCTGACGTTGAAAATACTCAATTGCAAGTTATTCTCCTAAAATAAATGTTTGAGAAACTAGGATTACCCATTACTTTCTTTCTGCAGAAAATGGGGGCAATAACCTGAATAGAGCAGTAGAGGAAGGAAAAAAAATCACAAGCACGTTCTCCTTTCCTCCCAGCCTCCATCATCCAGCCCAGGGACCGACTGCCTTTCTATCCCTGGCCTGCTATTTCCTACCACACCCCATTAGTGAATTTGGTCATCACAGCCTGCACGCAAGCTAGTTATAGTCCCTGCCCCTCTGTGTTGGCTGGGGGAACTGCCAGACAGCATCTTGCCAGGAACCAGGAGTGAGTCAGTGCCCTTTCTATATCTTTTTTTTTTTTTAAAGATTTATTTATTTATTTGTGCATACAGAACTGGGGTACAGTCCAGAGGCTCAGGGGCGGCGAGAGGCTTCACCAGAGACAGAGCGGGGAGCAGAACAGGCAGATCGACGAAGTACACTGCTGAGGGAAGCAGCGGGCGGGTCAGGAGAGGTCTGGCTCGCCATGTAGTCTCCTCCGGGGCAGGCGGCAGGCGGGAATCGAACTCATGCGGAAGTGGCTTCAGATTCTCAGTGCTGTGCTTTAACCCGCTGCGTCACCAGGGAGGGCCACCCTTTCTATATCTTAACCATTTTTTTTAAAGATTTATTTATTTATTCATACAGAACTGGGGTATAGGCCAGAGATGCGGAGGGTGAGAGGATTCACCAGGGACAGAGTGGGGAGCAGAACAGGCAGATCAACGAAGTACACTGCTGAGGGGAGCAGCGGGTGGAGAGGTCTGCCACGCCATGTGGTCACCTCCGGGGCAGGCGGGAATCGAACTCATGCGAAAGTGGCTTTAGCTTCTTAGTGCTGTGCTTTAACCCGCTGCGCCACCAGGGAGGGCCCATATTTTAACCATTTTTTTAAAGTAAGGCTAAGATGCAGAGAAAAGAGAATTTTCATTTCAAGTCTTTAATGCATATGCAAAAGACATTATAATAATGATTCTGAAAAACAAAATATGAGTGAAGCATGGGAAGGGTGAGTGTAAAATAAGTGATTAACGACCCAGAGTTCTTTGTAGACATGCAAGTGATACAGCCCAGGGGTGATGCTAGAGCCTTCCAGAAAAGGACTAGACAGCCTCTTCACATATTGAGGACTGTGAATTCACACTAGAGCTTCAGCTTTTTATTATGCTGAGGAGAAACTTTAGAGAGGATCTTGGAGAGATAGCAAATGTTGAAAAAGCCCACAAATAAGAGTGCTTTAGTAAAACTCTCTGCTAATAGTTCAGCTTTTGCTGAATGGTTCTTATTATCTGGGACCTATAATGGAAAGGCATCCATCCTGTTGTAAACACACTGAGCACAGAAATACTCGGAGTCAGACTCACCCTAAGTTTTCACTCCCGAAACAAATGCGACCCAGAAATAGTCATAAGACTCAGCTCAGGATCACTGTGCAAACTGTTCTGAACTGGCTCAGACATCCCATGTCCTGACCTCTCTCCCCCTCCTACCAAGGCCCTGTCCATATGGGTGTTGCTCTGCCCTCCTACCCCTGCATTTACAAGAGGACCTCAGGTCTTCACTCTCTGGGTGAAGGTGACCAGCCCCTGTATGGCCTTTCTGAGCCTGGAGTCCCCAACAGGGGCTCCCCAGGCAGAGTCTAGCTGTGGGTCCTTTGGTCTTGATGTGCCTCTCCCTGCAGCCCTCGCAGGGCCAACTCACCTCCATGGTGACACTTCCAAGTGCGCCAGAAGCTTTTCAGCTACCCCCAGAGGTTGTTTACTCAGGATGGAATCTGCAGCAGTTTCAAAAGCGAAGTTCCACTGCCTTCCCTGGGCCTCCTGCTGCCCCAGATGGAGCCACCCCCGCAATTCACTGACTCCCTCTGCCCTTTGCTCTGACACCTGCAGACAGGCTGGGAGGAGAACACAGAGCCCGCAAGAGCTGGAAATCCCATACTGAAGGTGACGGCCAGGGGGAGAGGGAGAATGGTAAGAAGAGGTCTTGGGTGGGGCTAACTGGTTGGATTTTCACCTGAACATGGACAAGCAACAGTATAGAAGGAGCAGTGGGGAGTAAAAGCAAAACACTTTTTTCAACACCAAAAGCAAATGGCAAACATGAACTCTCATTTCCTGCATTAACATTTATATTTTATTTGATTTATTAGAAAACCACATGTGGCTCAGATACACATTTGGAGGGTGAAGTACTATGAGGATCTCATTTCCCTTCCCCGCCCTCCCCCGCCCCAATATTCTATTTGGTGATCAAACAGCTTTTGACAGAGTGCGCACTGAAGAGGCATATTTTGTTGTGAGTATCAGAAACAAAAGAGGAAAGTACTGGGTCTAGGTAGTAGACCCAGATCAGGACTTGAGGTCAACAGAGAGGCCAGGGGCACCCAGCAACCAGGGTGTCAGGACCACCAGGACACCAGGACCCTATGTTGGGATGAATCAACTCAATCCAGTTCTACTTTATGTCACACCACTTAAGGTTCAATACCCTGGAAAAGAAAGGAGCTGCTGGCCTGTATGTCCCACGCCCAGCCCTGGGAGGGCAGAGAAGCCACAGGCAGGAAGGGCAGGGAGCTGGAGCGCTAGTCCCACAAAACTGTTCCCCAGAGCGAGGATGAGTCTCCAACAGGATAGTTGGACCTGCTACTAACAACAGGAGTAGAGGCAGTGAAGCACAGGCCATGTGCTGCCGTGGACAGACACAGAAAGCCTGCAACAGTTCACCTCTGGTGACCGCGCTGTGCCCCTGCCATGGCAACCTGAGAAAGGGCCCTGAAAACAGTGCCTGAGAATCACTTAGCATGCCAGGCGGAGAAAAAGCAGCAGCGAGGCATGATAAGGCTCAGAAAAGGCAAGAAGTGGGGGATGTCTGTACCTAGGTTTATAAGAAAGCACAGTGGAAACGTCTGGAAGGCAGGGAGGCTGAGGGCAAGGCATTCGTGCTGTGAGAGGAACTCATCCTTCAGTGGAGGGGACTGGTGGAGTTGAGGCAGGTATTACGACAAATACTGACTCTCATACAAGGGCTGTGAGGAAAGTTGCGGCTGCCTACGAGGCGGTACGTGTTGTGTCTTCATCTCTCTTTCAACCAGGAAGAGCCAGAATGATGGTGCCAGGTGTTACGAATTACCCTCAGGCTATCACGCCAAGCTCAGGATTATCACTGAACTGAATCTGTAGACCAGGTTTGAATTCCTCAAACAGGATGACCTTTCGAGAAGAAGATATAAGGTGGCCATGAGACTCAAGAGCTGCCCCTGAAGCATGGGTACTGAGAGATGGGGAGCAGCAGGGGGGCCCACCTCATTTGTTCCAGGTCGAAGCCAGGGTGCAGGCAGGTAAAGAGTCTCCTGAGGACCTTTATTCCAGTAGCGTCCCAGATTTCGACCATTGATGAATACTACTCCTTTTGTCCAGCCCTAAAAAGATTGGAGCCAAGGTTCACAGTCTGAGTTGGAGATGTAAAGACACAAGAGGAGAACATACACACACACAATAGACACACCAGATTGTAGCCATAGTCACACTCAGACAAGTAGATCATTAACTAGGGGAGAGTTTTATACCACAAACCCTGGCCTGGAATTGGCTCAACCCTCAGGTCTCAAGGAAGGAAGGCACTAAGTCCTAGATCATTCCCTTCTAATGACCCAAGTCAGGGCTTTATTTCCATCTGCTAGCAGGTATTCGTCAAAATAAATGGGAGGGAGAGGGGGGAAGATAGAGGAAGGGAGGGGGAAAAATCACTAACCTCTAGTTTTATGAAGGTGTCTTTGGGGTGATTAAAAACATACATGAAAGCGAGGAAGAAGGCAGGGCCCTGAAACTGAGGTTGGTAGATGGCTGGTTTCCAGATGTTAGGAATGCCCCTGAAAGAGATTTAAGCGCCAATGAAAAGAAGGTCATTCCCATCATCATAAGGTGTCAGGACTTTTGAGGCAAGTCTCTTCTCTCCAACCTGGTACCCCTACTATAGGAGAGGCCTAGGCCACTCAGGATACATGATGCAGTAAATAAGCCAGCAGCCCAGGAGTTGGGGGAATGGGGGGCTGTGGGGCACTGTCCCAGGCAACTCTGAAAACTGGAGTCATTCCTCTCCTGTTTTGGGGTCTGTCTGTCTCTCTCTCTCATTTTCTTACATCATTGTAGTCCCCAAAGTTCTCCCGCCCCCTTGTCACCGTGGCCATCACTGTCAACCCTTGTGTTCTTGCCTCCCATTTTGACCCCCTTCCCTCCCCCTCTCTTGCTGTGGGCCTCAGATCTATAGTTTGCAAGTTTTGTCTTTTACCCTTTGTTCAATTTCCCTATGTCCCCCCTTAAGTGAGACATCAACATTTCTTTTCCCTTCTGACTTATGTTTGCTTAGCATAATCCCTTCCATCTCTCTTATTTGAAAAGCAAAGGGGTTGGTCAGAATGTCTCTGAACTTCTTTCCATGTCTACATGTTTCCCATCTTTAAGGTGTCACCTGAGACAATGGCTTCTATACCCACCTTTTCATGAAATTAACACTCATCTCCAGGCTGAAGATTTGAAATTTCCTTAATGGAGAGTTGTTAAGATAGATATCCCCTGTTAAGCCTATGGGAGAGGGAAGACAGGCAAGTGAAGGCAGCAAGAAGGATGTAAAGATGTGAGAGGGCTGTGGTCAGTGTTGCCTCTCCTGGCCTCAGCAGAGAGGTCACTGCAAGACCCTCCCTGGGTTGCTCCTTCTGTGTGCGCATGAGCATCTCTAAGTGGTGCCTGTATCTTTTCCATCAGTAGCACAGAAGTCACAGCAATTCCTGCCAGATCTTCCCAGCACAGGTTTCCTGGATAACTAAACTCTTGCATAGATCAAAGCACGCTGGGTAGAAGGGAGGGCGTGGGACTGTGTGCACAGAAGCTGAGGGAAGATCAGACTGGCACTGGGCATCCAGAGAAGGACAAATCAAAATTTCTAGGAAGGGACTCTTAAAGACTCATGTCTCCAAGTCACTTCTACAGTTTTCTTTGAAAAACTTCCCAAAGGAAATCAGTGTGCTGGTATGGGAATTAGAGAAAACGCTGGGCTGTGGTGAGGATCTAGCAGGACTTGTCACAGTTTCTATGTCTGAGGGCCTGACTGACCAGGAGACCCTGTTCTCCTCCAAAGCACATACCAGGACTGTCTTTAGCCTGGAGTAAAAGCAACAGGAATGGGGTGCCTCGAGATCTCAAGTTTCTCCATGATGAAACCCACCTTTTCTCTCCTTATTGAGGTTCTTCCCTGAGGCAAGTCTGCCTTGATTCTCCACCAGGATGCTCAATGTCATGTACTCCTTGTAGCCCTGCCCAAGATAGACCAGCCAGAGTGGGGGCCACACAAATACTCTCCTGTAGGCCTCCCAGAACTTTCCAGAATCTGTGGTGAGATCATAAGCAGGTAGATAGCCAGAGAGCAAGCCTCAGCAAGCTTATGGACCTCCAGCTCAGGATCAGGCAAACCTTGGGACTCCTGATCCCCTTATTCATCCCCACCCCCATTCTGTGGCAGGCCTTCCAGCAGTCACTTGAACCAGACTGTATTGAGGTCCAGTTTGGGGGCAGCGAGTACTCAAGACAGAAAAGTTCTGCTCACCCAAAGCATGCTTCAGTCTCAAATTAAGCCACCCAGAGGTTTTCTGCTCTTTCTCACCCCCTATTGGGCCCCTCTGCCAGGGGCAACTCAGAGGACAGTGGCCGAGAAAGGAGACTATCACAGCACCAGGCCATGCTTCCAATTGAACCTGGGACCTAGGCTGGCACTAGAATTATTAGTTCAGTAACACTGGATTATATACATTTTTCCTGGGAATAATCACTTGACTGTTGGTGTGATCCAGGATGCCCAAAAACTTCTTATCCAAAAATACCTGCCAAAGAAAGAGGAAAATACTATTAGATCATCATAGGGAAAGAGGGGGAGCAGACAAGGGTTAAGTTCTAATGGAATATTTATCCTCCTGTAATACCACAAGCTGACCATGAGTTTTCAAACATAGAACAAATTTATATCACTTTTAAAGAAAGATTTATTTATTTATGCATACAAAAACTGGGGTACAGGCCAGAGGTGGAGGGGCAGTGACAGAATTCACTAGAGACAGAATGGGGAGCAGAACAGGCAGATCTACTGAAATACATTGCTGAGGGGAGCAGAGAGTGAGACAGGAGAGTTCTGCCATCCCATGTGGGTCGCCTCCCTGGCCAGAAATCGAACTCATGCTGTAGTGGCTGTGGATAACCCCACAGCACTGTGTTTTAAGCCACTGCACCACCAGGGAGGGCCCTTACTTTTTATTTTGAAGATGTACTTATACAAAATCTGGGGTATATGCCAAAATTGTAGGAAGGTGGGTAAGAAGCTTCACCGGAGACAGAGTAGGGAGCAGAACAGGTGGATCCACTGAAATACACTGCTGAGGGGAGCAGCGGGCGAGACAGGAAAGGTCTGCTGCACCATGTGTGTTTGCTCCCTGTCTGGGGTTGAAACTGGCCACCAGTTAGGAGGCCCCATAGAACAAATTTAAAGCAGCAGTCCTGAGCTGGATGAGTCCAAGTCCAGAGAGGAGTACTGGATGCTAAATGCAGTGCCCTGATGCCCCTCTAGGGCTGGGAAGAAAATGAGAAACTTCAAAAGACCTGCAGAGAATGAGGGGGAAGGAAGGGAGTGGATGAATGTCTGTTGTGAGAGAAGTGCTGGGAGGGGTTCTAGGTGCAGCAAGGGTCAGCCTGCCTTGCCCACGTGGATTCACCTGTGTAATGAACCCAGCCTAGGTCTCCCCAGATTCTCCTCTGGAAAGGCTGCCATCACCACTATATGTTGTTTTACAGATGACCTCAATATAAACCCATTTTTTACCTACCATATTCCTTTAGTCTCAAAACCTCAAAAACCCAGAGGTTCTCTGCTCTGTTCTAGCCATACAAGACCAGAGGATACAGTTTCCTCCCTAAATTAATGGAGTTATATCATCACTTTCAAGACAGAACTGAGGAGGAAAATGGAAAAATTAAAATTTACAAGTATAAAAACATAAGTATTTATAGAATACAGAATTCATATTTTAAGCTCAAATTTAAGTTTGATTGTAAGGCCTGCATATTCTATAATCATTTGTTGAACACATACTAAAAGTCTAAATATTTCCATGGGCCCTGCCTGGTGACACAGCAGGTTAAAGAGCAATGCTATGAAGCTATTGGCAGCCACTGAAGCATGAGTTTGATCCCTGTTCAGGGAGCTGACCCACATGACTCAGCAGACCTCTCCTGTCTCCCCACTGCTCCCCTCAGCAGTGTATTTCAGTGAATCTGCCTATTCTGTTCCCTACTCTGTCTCTGGTGGATCTTCTCAGCCTCTGGCCTGTACCCCAGTTCTTGTATGCATAAATAAATAAATCTTTAATAAATAAATAAGTGAATATTTCCATATGGAAAGGGGCAACCGAGGTTTGGTGGTGGGAGGGCTAGGGGAACCACACTGAAAAGGGAAATCCTATACTGTTAAAACTGGCAGTGATAGAGAACAATGTACTTCCATAACAAATAAATTTTCAAATAATAATAAATTACAATTAAAAGAATACAGCCCCAGCCACTGAGGTAAAGTGTTCACAACAGCTGCCATGGAGCTTCACACTGATAACTGGGGAAGCTCAGAAAAGGGAATGACATGCCCTGATCAACAGTGGATTTCAGTCTGTTTCACCATCAGGTTGATAAGTGATTGGGAAGTCAATGGAAGGTTGTTAAGTGGGGAGTGATGTGATGTGATAGATTTTTACCTGGGAGAGATACTGTGATAGCTCTCCAAGGGAGGGAGTTAGAAAGGAGAAGGGTAAAGGTGAGTTGTCTGAAACAGGAAGTTCTTCTATGAGGTTCAGACAATAGTAGAAGATACAAAGATGATTCTAAGGCAATGACAGCCCAGAGTTTAAAAGAAAACTAACTGAATAATGTGCACCATACATGAGCAAGCTGAGAGTAGGTACGCAGGAGAAATAAGGGGAGGGCTGTGGTGCCATTTTCAGATTGTGAGCCCATGAACCAATGTGAGGATGAGCTTTGTTTAAGAGGCTAATGATTTCAGACATGATGAGCTTGAGCTTGAAACCCTTCTGGAACATCTAGGAGAAATGTTGATCAACCAATGGGAAAAATGAAGTCTGCAGTTGAGGAGAAGGAAGGGAGGGCTGAAGTCACAAAGAAGTCTCTGAGGAAGTGAATACAGACAGCATAAAAGGGCTAAAGGGAAAGAAAATTCCAAGGCCTGAAGAACACACAACCTAACTTAGAGTGGGATGGTAAAGCTTGGAATCTTGCTCTGCTGCATCTCCATCAAATATCCTTTGAAAGTCATTTAACTTCTCTCTGGTTTCCTCATTTGTAATAAATACTTTAAATGGGTATTTTGAGAATTAAATGAGAGGAGTGATCTGGAATGTGCTCTGTTAATCCAAAGATTGCTGTGCAGTAAGTACAGGGACAACCGAAGTTCTTCCCAGGTCTCTAAAACACTATCTGCTCCTGTAGGGTTGGGTAGTGCTCTCCCTGGGGAGGTCTACATACCTTAGCCTCTGGTAGCAGGAAGGATGGACAATGTCACTGAAGGAACAGAGGTTAAGAAACTGATGATTTCTTGAAAGTCAAAAGGAGATTTCACTATATTTAGAGATTCACTTTAGCAGCACTGTTGGGTTTTACTAGCTGGACCCATCTAACAGTCCCCTACCTGACCCCGATCTTGAACATGATTCCTTGAGGTCAGGACGCCTCCATTGAAGATGACAGTCTCATAAAGTATATAGCCATAGGACTGACCATTCCCACTGTTCACATTCGGGTTCTCCATGGTGACTGGTTTGAATGACCTGAATGGCTGAGGCAGAGAAAGGAGGGGGAAAAATGAGGCTAAAGTTTCCAACTAGAAAGAAAAATTTGAGAAATCATTTAAAACCCACTTCTCCCAAGAGCTTTAGAGACAGGAGTAGAGAAAACAAAATATGTAGTAACAGTCATGATTAAGTATCACATGTAAATTGCCAGTTGTTTTCTCTGCTTGTGCTGCTAATAATGTATTCTTTTTTAAGATGGGAAGATTGAAGTCAAAAAAAGGCAATGATTTGGGAGACATGCTCATCAATCCATAATAAAGCCTGGACTAAACTCCTGACTTGAATTCAATCAAATGTACCAGATTCTGCTTATCTTTAGCCTTCTTTCCATTTCCCTGGATACACTAAGATAAATCATCCATGGTATAACTGCCCATGATTACTCATAACTCTTCATTTCTAGCACTGGCCTAAAGCACTCCTGGTCTATTTATCTTCATGTCTACTGGACTTCATCAAAGAAGATCCAACCCAATATTCCCACCACTATCCTTACCACCTTTCCATACTATTCTTTCCTTTCCAAATAGCACCAACCATCCAATCAAAATAGCAAAAACATGGAAAATAACTTCTTCCTTCTCTACAATTCCCCATCAACCAGTAATCATCTCCACTAGAGTCTGTCTGTAAATTTCAGTTTCATTCATCTTTCTTCTCTTCTATTAGCTAAGGTCAACTTCAATAGACTTTTTTATTTAGTTTCAGTGCTCATGTTCAGCATGACCCCTCTCTAATCCAAGCCCCACATAGCTACTACATTGATTTAAAGCTACTAAATCCTTCTAAATGCAAACCTGAGTATTTGATTCCCAAACTTATTTTAAAATATCTCAAACTTGGTAGCATAAAAATATTGCCCTTCAGAACTCCTTGGAGAACAGGAGGTTTCCATACCCTGAAACATCCAGGAGGACCAAAAAGTCAAGAAAATACTAAACTACTAGAATCATATCAAGAGGACACAGGTGTTGACTTAAAGAAACACCTGAAGGGGCAGATCCCATACATCTGATCAAATCAACGTTGTAAGACAATGCTACCTCAATTTAAAAAGTAATGAAGGAGCTTCTGTTTGTCTAAGATGAGACCATAGTGGGGTAAAAATCTGTGAGTTTATAATAAAAGACCAACAAAAGCAAAGTAACTCATAGATATGCAGGAATAAATTCATTATCTCAATAAAAGAAAACACCTCTGTCTTGACTTTTCTGTACATTCAGGTAATAAGACAATTGGTGAAAGAAAATGATTCTATGTAGAATTCAAGAAAATAAATACATAAGGAACTAATTTAAATGACAGTCTTTTTGAAAGCCTGAAGGGAAAATGAATATAGATAATAATCATCAATGACCAATAAAACCATTAGGTAAAATACTGATGAGAAATTGATAATTAATAGATTGGACTAATATTTGAACCTACTGATCAATTATAAAAACAGGAGCAAGTAGCCAGTATGTGCTGGGATATGGTGTATAAAAATCACAGCAGAACACTTGGAAACAATTACAAATAAAATTCTATCTTAACTCTCATCAAGAATCCAGTTCTAACTACCATTTTATAGAAAATGCAGGAAGTACAAGCACAGGACAAATGGGGATCTAATCATCAAAACCCTGAATACAGGGAATTTTCATTACAAATGATCCAGTTTGTTTAACAAACAAATTTTTAAAAACTAAATCGAAAAATCTTTAGATTAAGAGGCTCAAGAGGCATATCAACTAAATGCAATGTGCTTAAACGACTGTTTAGGAGACAACACAGGTAAAAAGCTCATCGGCTTTAACAATGATTGCTTGGACACAACACCAAAAATACCACAAAGGCAAAAACTGACTATTGGTGACACAACATGAAACACCAAGCTTTTGTACAGAAAAAAATAAATAAAGGGATAAAACATCCTACAGAATTGGAGAAAATTTTTTCAAATCATATTTCAGATGGGTTAATATTCAAAATACATTTAAGGATTTATGCAGCTTATTAACAAAAAAATCTGATTAAAAATAGACAAAACACTACACGACATATACTTCAGCAACATCTTTAAAGATTGAGCACCCAATGCAATGATAGTGAAGGCAAGGATAAATAGATGGGACTATATCAAGTTAAAGAGCTTCTGTACAGCAAAAGAGACATTACAAAAGACAAACAGACATCCTACAGATTGGGAAAAAAATTTCTCACACAAAACTAGTGATAAAGGATTGAAGTTGATGAAACTCAACAAAAATAAAGTAAATCACCCCATCAAAAAAATGGGCAGAAGAGCTATAAAGACACTTCTCCAAAGAGGAGATGCAGATGGCCAACAGGCATATGAAAAAATGTTCAACATCACTTGTAATAAGGGAGATGCATATTAAAACCACAATGAGATACCACCTCACCCCAGTGAGAATGGCACATCTTCAAACAACTAGCAACAACAAATGTTGGCGAGGATGTGGAGAAAAAGGAACTCTCCTGCACTGCTGGTGGGAATGCAAACTAGTACAACCACTACGGAAAACTATTTGGAGGTTCCTCAAACTGCTAAACATGGAGGATCTATACAACCCAGAATCCCACTCCTAGGTATCTACCCAAAAGACACAAAAACACTGACTCAAAAAGATACCTGCACCCCCATGTTTATTGCTGCTTTTTTTTTTACAATTGGAAAGACATGAAAACAGCCCAAATGCTCAAAAATGGATGACTGGATTAAAAAGATGTGGTACATATATACAATGGAATATTACTCAGCAACCAAAAAAAGAAAGAAAGAAAGAAATACATTTTCCCTGGGTTGTTCCTTTTCCTTTCCCCTTTGTAAACAAACCCATTATTGATCCTTTTTGTACGTACCTGCAGTACAACTGAATTTTAAGCATTCAGGTGAGGACCCACAGACAGGCAACCCAGTTTACATTGGGTTGCCCTGTAGCACCAGTGCTACCACTGCTACAGCCTGAGTTTGAACCCTAGCCAGGTGGCTGACCCACATGCCACAGCAGACCTCTCCTGTCTCACCACTGTTCCCTTTAGTAATGTGTTTCAGGAAATCCGCCTGTTGTGTTGCCCACTAGGTGACAACTTACCACCCTCCCATGTCACCTCTGGCTTATACCCCAGATATTTTACATAAAATAAATAAATTTTTAAAAATAACTAAAAGATGTTCAACATCATTAACCACTGGGGAAATGCAAACAAAACCACAATGAGATATTATCTCATACCTGTTAGAATGATTACCATAAGTTAAAATAAGGAACAACAGATGCTGGTGAGAATAAGATGAACAGGGACCCCTTTACTTTGTTGGTAGGAATATAAACTAGTCTAACTTGGCAAACAAAACAGAGATTCCCCAAAGAATTAAAAATAGATCAACCATAAATTCAGCAATTCTACTTCTAAGTACATAGAGAAAGGAGTTGGAAACATGATTTCAAAGAGTTACACATAACTTCCATGTACATCACAGCACTATTCACAATATTCAAGATATGGAAATAAGACAAATGCCCATTAATGGATGAGTAGATTTATAAAAAAAAAAAAAAAGAAGAAGAAGTCACATATACATGCAATGGAATATTACTCAGGCATGAAAATGTGACTAGCCTACTATTTGAGACATGATGGGCCTGAGCATATGGAAAAGAAGTCAGACAGAGAAAGACAAGTACTGTGTGATAGTGTGTGTGTGTGTGTGTGTGTGTGTGTGTGAAATCCAAAAAAGCCAAACATGTAAAAAGCAGAAAGTAAAATAGTGTTTGGGTGTTTGTCAGAGATTGGGGGATAGATAAAACTGATGGTGCTTAGGGGTAAAAACTTTTGTAACAATTTGTTAATAAGTCATAGAAAACTAATCCCCAGTACAATGGTACTATTGTACTATAATGGTATAATGTGATAAATATGACTATAATGGCATATTTCAGTATATAACTGTATCAAAGCAAATTTAAAAAGCATTGCTCTAGGGTCCATCAATATACCTGCATTTTAAGCAATGTCAGAAATAGGGGCTATTGTCTCAGCTAGCCTCTCATATCCTGCAATAGTCACAGTTTCTTCAAATTCAAGTTTTCTTATCCTAGTTTCTTATTCTGAGCTAGAAGGAACTAACATTGCTAAGTGTTTCTTTGTTCCCTAATAACTAACTTCCTGTTCTTTAGCTAAGTCTTTCCTTCCTCTCTCTTTTGTCTAAAAGGCTTTCTAAACTTTCCATCCCAGACATGATTACCTCCTTCAAGTGGGGTATGAGGTCCCACAGTGATATGAAGTGTGTCACAGTCAGTGACTTGTAAGCAATCTTAGGCTGAGATTCTGGTAGCTCGGTCTTGGGGAGCTCTGCAATAAAAAGCAGGAGGTTAGGTCATCCTGGACCCTCTGCCAACCCAATCTGGGGCACAATGTACTCTGCCATCCCAAAGCCACCAAGAATAAAAGACCTGATCATAGAGAGGATATGTCTTCCCAGTTCCAGAACAAGAATAGACAGGCTGGGCAATAATTGCATGGGACTCTAAGCTCTGAGGCAGTGTGCCATGCTGTGCCTCAGTGGTACCACTGGGCTAGCAGTTCTCAACCTTGGCTGATCATCAGATTCTCTGAAAGCCCAGTAGGAGATACACACACCCAGATGCTGCTCCTTCCACCCCATTTTAACCAAGACATATTTACTCTAAGAGTGCTGGGTAAATTCGCAGAAGTTCTACAAAGGGTTCTGAGGACAACTCAGACAAGGCTAGCGCTGAGTGGTTCTAGGCTGGGCCCTGTATCTTGTGCATATTGGAACCCACAGTGCCTAATGAGAAAATAAACTACAGCATAGGGAACATCCTCCCAAAGAACATATCTTTCCACTTTCTATTCTCTCTCCCTTCTTCATAGGACAGACTCCTAAGGGGTTGAGTTAGCATTCAGCAGAAGGTTGTTGCTGGGTACCCAGATAAGAGGTAAAAAATTCTTGAAATGTGAAATACTCTGGTGTATAATCTCCATTCTCTGTCAGCAGTCCCCCATAGTCTGAAAAAAAAATAAAGAAATGTGTCACTTTTCCCCAGAAAATCACAGCTTCAACAAAGGAAGAGATGAGCATTTAGTATTGAGCAAAGCAACCCTTAATAAAATAGCTTTGTGAAGAAAAAATGGGGCATTAATTAAGAAGATACCAGACCCCAGTTAGTCCAAATCAAGAAGCAGCTTGGTGCTTCCCAGGGCTTTCAAATGGAGGCCCAACATACCAGCCCTTGGAGAGCTAAGAAACCAGGATGAGAGTCCAGCTACTCAGACCCACTGGCTCAATTTCTTTTGCAATACTGATTGCATTCTTCCTTTCTTTCACCCTTGGCTTTTCATGAGCTCTCTTGGGAGAATTGCAGAGTAGACGAGATCTATTAGCCAATAACATGGTGTTATCAGAGACTCAAAATCACTGATTCTTGGCCAATCTCTAAACACAAGGGTCTGCAGAGAGGATAGACAAGATTAAGCTACCAATGGGTCTGCTTGCAACTTGCCTCGACTGTAGTGATGGATAAATTCTAGACCTGTCAAAGGAATGAATAGCGAGCTCTCAGTTCCCAACCTATGTTAAAGGTAAATAGTCAAAGTACTAGGGGTTGTTTTCAGAGGCCCTGTCTCAAATGGCAGAGTGGCCTGGGTTGGAGACAACTTGGGTGACAAGTACTTACCATAACTGGTGACCACAGGGAGAAAGGACTCTGCTAATCTGGCTCCTCCCATAAAGCCAAAGTTGGTACCACCATGGAACATATGGAAGTTGACAGAGAACTGAAGGTTGAGCATTTCATGTACGTCTTTCATTAACACTGGTAGGAAGAAAAGGAGAAAGGGGGAGAGAATGAACATCTGACAGAATGAATCGACTGTTCAGAGACTTTCAAGCTGCATAGGTTAAATATTTGTGCATTTGTTTGTTAGGTAAATATTGGTCTAGCTCTGTGTTTCTGTGGCACTTAGTAACTTCTCACAGTGGCTGTCCCAAAATCCCAGCACCAGGAACATTGCCTTATACTTAATGACCACTGTCAATTTTTCAGAAAGGACATGACAGATAATCTGGGACCAGGGAAGATTTTTACTTCCACCCAATGCACAGTTATTGAGCTCTCCTATTGATCAGAACAACTCACACTAACATAATCAGAAAGAAGACCCTGTTAAAATCTCAGCTTCAATGACCTCTGGGGTGCCCTGTGCATGCTGTCATTTCACCTAAACAGAGGTAGGCAAGGTGTTTACTGAACCTTATTGATACTTATAAAACTGTAAGATCTAGCAGTCTTGTCCCTAACTCTCAAGTGTACTTATCAGCAGGGAGGAGAGCGCAGGCAAATGTCATCTTTTCCCAAGAAAGAAACTAAGGAAGACTTACTGTGTGGGTCCAGAATACTGCGAGGCAGTCCCCACACATCTGGATTGCTGGCTGTGTACACTGTCATCAATATGGGGCTATGGCCCTGAGGAAAACCAAGGGCTAGTTTAAAATGCTTGCTTGCTGAGATTTAGAAGCTTTTTTTTGAGACTCAAATCATCTAAGGTCCTTACCTGAATTGAAAAGAGTGTTTCATAGGTTTTTTTATTTATGTCCTTCAAGCGGAGAGTAGAAAGCACTGCGGAAGAGAAGAAATGCTCACAAGGTCTCACTACAAGCACTGAACGGTGTGGGCAGAAAACTGGCCCTCAGCTCGGGCTGGAAAGTTGGGCCTGGCTCTTCTCACAGCACACCTCCCAGACTTTCACAATGGACAGCTCACAGTCAGTAACAAAGACGTGGTGCCACACTTGTACCGTGCAAACACAAGATGCATAAGATGAAGTTTGAAAAGACATCAGGCTGACCGAAATCCAAAAGAAGAAATTATGCCCAGCAAGGTGACTAATTGAGGACCTGACTAAATTTCCTGACATCTCCTTCAGAGCATTATTCTGCTTCTTCCTCTATAAGCTGAAGGGCCATCAGGAAGCCTGGGAGAGAAAGGAGCCGAGGAGAAAGTTCCTCACACAACATTTGGAATTTAAAAAATTCTAAAATGCATTGTCCTCCGGCTCAACTTGTTCACACATTGCCTTCCTGTGTATTCCTCTTGTAATGTTATCCCATGTTTCTCTACTGCTTTTAGTCCTTAGTCCATAGTCTTATTTATCCCCTTACCTGCTCGGTCTGGTACTATTTGACTAACACTGTTTCCACTTCCGGTTACTCGGTCGGGGCATTGAATCCACTTCCGGTTCTCAGGAGGGGCATTGGCATTCCGGTTCTCACTAAAATGGCCTTTACTCTGGTCCCAGTCAGCACATTCTGGGAGCTGAGGATGGAGCAGGATCGAGCAAGTGTTCCACATTCCTGGTACCAGGGGTAGTGGCTGGAGGGCAGCTAGCTATACACTAATATACTTAATGACCTCTGTCAATTCTTCAGGAAGGACTTGGCAGATATTTACTTCCACCCACCGCTCTTTTATTGAACTCCCCTATTGATAAGAACAACTCACTCTAATATCATTAGAAGACCCTGTTCAAATTTCAATTTGAATTACGTTGGAGGTGCCGGCTGCATGCTGTCATGCTTATCATATAAATAGACCTATAAATGATGAATAGGAATAGACAGACAGGCTCCCTCACTCAGCTCTCACCACTCACCTGAACACTATGGGGCCCATGCATGGGAGATGGGAAAGCTTCAAAGGAATGCCTGTCCTGTTTCAGTGAAGAAAATAGGGCAAAACCAAAAGTGCACCTTTTTTCAAGTGGCCACTTGACAGCTCTTGTCCACCATCTGCTGTCATGAGTAGCACGTCGATCCCTCTCTTCACCAGGGCCTGTAGAGAAATTCATGAGGGTAAAAAAAAAAAAACTGTTCCTGGTCCTGTGTGATTGCTTTTCTTTGGAAAAAGTGATGGCAGTAAAAATGCTCGACTGAAACTGATGAGTAGGAAAAAAGGTTTTATTTTGCTTAGCATTATCTGCTTCAGTTCCATCAGCGCTAGTGCAAATGGCTGGAGTTATCCTTTTTTATAGCCGGGTCCATAATATATATTATGTATTGATGTGTGTGTGTGAGAGAGAGAGCACGCGCGAGAGAGATCCACTCTTCTGTCCTTCAGCACTTAGGCTGTTTCAGTGTGTGGTAGGAGTGGGGGAAGAAAGGGGCCCAATAGAACATTGAGGATTATTGGGGCACTGGTGTAGACAGGCTGTAGAAGTCCATTAGTAGAGAGTTGAACCTGTAACTCCTAGAGGAAGTACAATGATGTCAACCTACTTTACTTCAATAAACATAATTTGGGGGGTGGTAGAGATTATGGTAAACTAGGCATATTTTCAGTCAAGAAGTGAGAGAATTTGTTAATAAAATACCTCTGTATTTATAAAGAAAATACAAAAAGAGTTCTTCAGGGAGAGGAAAATGGTAAGGAAGATAAAGTTCAGTGATTCAGAAGGAGAAAAAAGCAACAAAAAGTAGATTCTCTGAGTAAATCTAAATGATTATATAATAAAAATAATGGCTGTGGCATTAAAAGAAATGACAACAATACAATTCAATGTTTCTCAAGTATTTTCTTAACCCTGGAATTAGAAAGCAAATTAATTTATGTGTAACACTAATAATTCAAGGATAAATACTGTTATTTCTATGGCCAATTCTAAAAGAAAAGTGAAAATGGCCTAAAGGCCAGTAGAGTGAGGAAATGGAAAATAAAATAATGTAAAAATGAAAATATAGAGTGACATAAAAATAAAAATGATCAACTCAAATGAAGAAAAGAGAGAAAAAGGTCCAGCTCAGTGTAAGGTCCTAGAACAAGCAGGAAAAATAGAAAATAATAAGATGATAGATTTAAATAAAAATTCAGTAATTACATTAAATGTAAAGAAACCAAATATCTCATTTAAAAGACAAGACTTTTCATAATAGATTAAAAAATAAATTCTGATTCTATGCTGCTTACAAAGTATGTAACTGAAATAGGTGGATGCCAAAATTTTGAAAGTAAAAAGATAGAAAAGAATGTATTATACAAACACAGATCAAGAGAACTATAAAATTTACAGAGAGGAAAAATATCTGCACATCATTCTTTGCCTACATTAGAGTTGTATAGGTAGTTTTCCAGACTTTTCTCCCAATTCATGAAAAACTAAATTGGACCTTCTTCATCTTCATAGCACATCGTATCATGGAAACTATCACTGTACAAACTGACAAAGTAAGAAAGGAAATACATGAAGATGGAGGAAAACTGAAAGAGTGCTTACCTTTTTAACATACTGCAAGTATTTCTTATCCATATTATATGAGCCATATTCATTCTCAACCTGCATAGCGATGATGGGGCCTCCATTTTTGAACTGAAAATCCAGAAGGTGAATTTGAGAATGTGATTACAAGGGATAAAGGCTGGATTTTTTACAATTTACTTCTCTACAACCATATTATACACATTACCAGTTTCCCTAAGTCTAACTAACTCTGGGTACCCAGTGTTAAGAATCAGCTCTATGCCTAGGAAATTCACACTTTGTGAAAGCCTCTCCTGACCACATAGGGGCCTGTCATTGCCTCCATTTAATCTACAATAGGACCCTCAAATGGTTATAGTAGGTAAATGTTATTGCCTAGTGCAAAGCTTGACACCTAGATGTTATATATTTGTTCTTCCCTCTACTCATTTTCTCCTTGGTACTCTTTCCTAAGCATTTTAGTAACCTGAAGAACACTAGATCTACTTAATGAGTATACTGACACCATGGTTTTATTTCAGGAAAGGTATATAAGAAATCAAACACTGTAACTTCTAAAAATATCACTGAGCTAACGTCATCCAGATAGTCTATTATTTGTGAAGGAATAAAATAACAAGACATTTCAAGAGCTATCATTAATTCCCATTTATGGTGATGGAGAGCAAATAAATAAAACAAAAACACAGAGAGTGCAGTTCCTAAAATACTGCCATGGAAAAGGCATAAAGTGGGGGTAGTAGGGGTAAATCAGCCTATAAACCTGATTTTTTTTAAATAAGAAGCTTGACTTAGCTGAAATATATGTTTCCTGCTTCTGAGTTATAGCAAGTTGGCTGGCCCTATCTGGAAAAGCAATTACTCCCCTTGGGTTTTACCTGGAGTGATTTTATCCTGGGAATCAGCTCATCAAAATAGTGACTCATTGCTTTAGTGAAGCCCTTGTAAGTTGTTCTCAGCTTCATGTTTGGATCCTGGAGTAACCAACTAGGATTGAAAAAGCAAGACTCCAACTTGGAATGGGAGCTAGCAGTAAGATCTGTTTAAGCATATGAGTGTGGGGATGGGCAATCCCGATTAGAACAGTCACACTGAAACAGTACATTGTGAGATTTTAATCCATCTTTAGCAGTCAAATTGGACACAAGCTATATTTCCTTTACAAATAGCTCAGCCCCTTAAGCATCCTTTCTTTCCTCAAAACACAAATAAGAGCTGTATAAAGATGAACTGATGAGCTGATCTAGAGCAGGGGTGATCAAGCTAAAGTCCAACAGCCCAGTCAGAGCCACTGCCTGTTTCTGTAAATAAAATTTTATTGGAAAACTGTCATATCCATTTGTTTACATGTTACCATGACTACTTTCCTGTTACAACAGCAAGGTTGAGCCATTGCAACAGAGACTGCCCTCAAGATTGAAGATATTTATAATTTGGCCTTTTACATAATTAGTTTGCCAACTCCTAATCTGGAATAAGACTTTTGTAAAACTGTTTCAAAGTTTTTAAAAAATGCTGTCTAGGCCCTCCCTGGTGGCACAGCAGGTTAAAGCACAGCATTAAGAAACTAAAGCCACTTAAGCATGAGTTTGATCCCTGCTCAGGGAGGGCACATGGCACAGCAGACCTCTCCTGACCCGCCCACTGCTCCCCTCGGCAGTGTACTTCGTCGATCTGCCTGTTCTGCTCCCCACTCTGTCTCTGGTGAACCCT